TCAATCTTCATCAGTAAGTGCCTCAAGTCATCCTCACTTTCAGCAAGCAAAGTTGTATCATCTGCATATCTCAGGTTGTTAATGATTCCTCTTCCAATTCTGATGCCACGTTTTTCTTCATACAGTCCAGCTTCTCAGATTATTTGCTCAGCATATAGATTGAATAAGTATGAGAAAAGGATACAACCCTGATGCACTCCCTTCTTGATTTTAAACCATGTAGTGTCCCCTCATTCTGTTCAAATGACAACCTCCTGGTCAATGCACAGGTTCCTCATGAGTACAATCAAGTGCTTGGGAATTCCCATTCTTCTCAATGATATCCATAATTTGTCATGATCCACACAATCAAATGCCTATGCATAGTCAATAAAACACAAGTAAACATCTTTCTAGTATTCTTTGCCTTGAGCTAAGATCCATCTGACAGCAGCTATGATATCTCTTGTTCCACGTCCTCTTCTGAATCCAGCTTGCATTTCTGGAAGTTCTCTGTCAATATACTGCTGCAACCGTTTTTGAATTATTTAAAGTAAGATCTTACTTGTATGCGACATTAATGATATTGTTCAGTAATTTCCACATTCTGTGGGATCACCTTTCTTTGGAATGGGTACAAATACAGATCTCTGCCTGTCAGTTGGCCAGGTAGCTGTCTTCCAAATCTCTTAGCATAACTGAGTGAGTGCCTCCAGTGGGGCATCCGTTTGTTGAAATATCTCAATGGGTATTCCATCAATTTCTGGAGCCTTGTTCTTTGCCAATTCCTTCACTACAGTTTCAACTTCCTCCTTCAATACCATTGGTTCTAGATCATATGCCACCTCCTGACATGGATGAAGATCAACCAGTTCTTTTTGGTACAGTGACTTCCATCTTCTTTTGATGTTTCTTGCATCATTCAATATTTTGCCCATAGAATCTTTCAATATTGCAACTCGAGGCTTAAATCTTTTCCTCAGTTCTTTCATCTTGAGAAATGCTGAGCGTGCTCTTCCCTTTTGGTTTTCTAACTCCAAGTTTTTGCACATTTCCTTATAGTAATTGGCTTTGTCTGCTCGTGCTGCTCTTTGAAATCTTCTGTTCACCTCTTTTATCTTGTCATTTCTTCCATTTGCTTTAGTTACTCTCTGCTCAAGGGCAAGTTTCGGACTCTCATCTGTCATCCATTTTGGTCCTCTTTTCTTCGTGGATGATCTTCTTGATGTCATCCCACAATTCTTCTGGTTTTCAGTCATTGGAGTTCAATGCATCAAATCTATTCTTCAGATGGTCTCTAAATTCAGTAGGGATATATTCAAGATCATATTTTGGCTCTCATGGACTTGTTTTAATTGTCTTTAACTTCAAGT